AATCTTATGATCCTTGGATTAAAACATTAAGGGAAGTGATGAGAATGTGAAAAATAGTTTTCATTTAGTCAGCAGCATAAAATTAATAACTGATCTTCAATCAAAGTTCTATATAATATATATATACTGATATACATAAAGGATATGATAATGTCTAGTTTTCTAATATCACAATTTGAATGCCTTTTCATTGCAGCTAGAAGTACAGAAACAAAAATTGATTCTGATTCTGGTACAGAGAAAAGTGATGAATCCGAAGACACAGATGACGTCTGGAAAAAGTTAAAAGATTTTGCTGGGTAAATTTCTTACCTCTTCTTTTCACTTAAAATTCAGGGTACTTTCTGAATAAATGATGGTTTCTTTCCAGCCAAGAACTTCATGGCATACCTTCTATTTTGGTCACATAGAGCCAATTAAACTTTTTTCCATATATGGTCTTTTTTCTGTGGAAAGTGAGTTTCAAACACTAGTTCCGCTGTCCAATGAATAATTCATGGCTCAAATTTAATGTGGCAAATTTTGAAGACAACCCTTTCCCAAAGATATGATTTGAGATTCTTGAAACCCATTGTCCTGAAATCTAACAAGTTTACTAATAATGGAACTGTTTTTTTCTTCATTTATATATATAAGAGTTTTTTTTTTTTTTTTTTTTCAATCCTGGGTATGTGACAGCCTCAACAAAATTTGCATCTTCAATAATGCATACATCCTCTTGCTGATTGATAATTGTCTGGGTATCTCTTTTGTACCACCCTCCGGTGATAATCATAATGTACATCAAAGCGCCATATGTGCTTTCTCTCTCAAGAAGAAAAAATGGTCTAGGCAAATGAACCTGCATATATACTGTAGAATATATATGAAGAAAAATAACCAAATTATTTAACCGGTATATTTTGTATTACAGAGAATTATATTTCTACATACTCTTCCTTCTGCTGAACTCTATTAATTTGTTTCCGTTTTACTGCTGAACTAAAGATTGCATAAATTTGCAGGTCTGTTGCAAATGGTGCTCTGAAGTGGTTTAAAGACAACCTCTGATGGAATGCATCAACATAGCCCCATTTCTTCATTAACCTCACAGGATTCAGGATGATGCGTGGAGCAGTTTTCTTTAGATTGAGTTGTGTCAACCCTTTGGGGTAATTGATTTTCCCACCAACCATTCCTGTAAATTCCAACAATGGCTCAGCCATCCCAGCAAGAGGTGTTATTACTCATTTCCACCATTTGTGACTGAGATGTGTACATGTACAGGAGGGAACCTGACCTTCTTTCTGCAAGTTGAGAAAGAAAGAAATTGAAGCATTCATTCTGTCTGTGTTGCTACCTTGCTTCACATTTGCATTTAATAATCTGTGAGATTGGTCATATTTGCATGTCACGTAAAGTTTGTTGCTTTTCAATTGCACCATAGGATTTGCAACTTTATGATGCTAGTTGCCTCTGCAGTCTGCACGATGCCCGTCAGATCTCAGATGTATCAATGTCAAAATTTTTATATTCAACTCAAATCTTTAATGGTAGTAGGGAACTTAATGCAGTCTAGGCTATGAGAAAGCAAGTATAATGAATTCGCTCTTGTTAGGAGCATCTCTATCAGTGATTTCAGACTTTATAGCTTATGTTGCGAAGAGAGTGAAAGAAAATATTACTGTAAATGTTGATTTTTTGTGTTTTTTTTTTTTTTTTTGAAAACGATTTTTCGTGGGTTTTACTGTTTTAGGATAAGTTAAAAAAACAAAGTTTTTTCACTACAGAGGATGTGCGCTGGATGTACTTGTAGCACCCTTTTTTTTGTGCTTTTAATTTTTATTGTTTTTTTTTTATTATTTGTTTTCTCTCTTTATAGTCCGTTTGGTTCACAGAATAAGTAAGAAATGATATAGCATTCTTACAATCATTATTGCATGGACCATTGTCCACACAATTGTATGGATCATAAAAAGTACATTTTTAATATACTAAGGGTACATTATTTATGTATATAAAGTACCTTTTTGAATGTACATTTTTAATATACTAAGGGTACATTATTTTATATAATGTACCTTTAATACAAAAATAATATACCTTCAGTACAAAAATAATGTGGTGTATTTTTTGTGTGGTGCATTTTTTGGCATTTCATTCTGGTGTATTTTCGAACACTGTGTGGTGCATTTATCCAAACCTAATGGTGTATGTCGCACTGACCGCACGAGAAGACCTGTTCTCACAGGAACCTGACCATATATATATATATATATATATATATATATATATATATATATATATATATATATATATATATATATATATATAGGGTTGTACTCAGGTGCTAATAAGTGCTCAGGAGGGAAATGCGAACGAATCAGCGCGCGACACATGTGCAGATCTAATAACTTAAAAAAAACGCGGTGGCATTTTCGTAAATAATTGAACATCAAAGTGCAAGTAAAATCACTTACAAGTGCACCTACTTTCACCTATAAGTGCATGTAATTTTGCCTTGTTAGCATTCACTTTCCGCAAACATTCATGCACCTGGGTGTGCTTATAACTATATGTGCAACTATTTATAACTATAGGTGCAACTACTTATAACTATAGGTGCACCTACTTTCAACTATAAGTGCATGTAATTTTGCCTTGTTAGCATTTAATTTTCGCAAACATTCATGCACCTGGGTGTGCTTATAACTATATGTGCAACTATTTATAACTATAGGTGCACCTACTTTCACCTATAAGTGCATGTAATTTTTCCTTGTTAACATTCATTGGTCTGAGTTCAGCGGGTAGTAATACCCCTGAAAACCACTCTCAAACATTCATACACCTAGGTGCAACTACTTATAACTATATGTGCAACTACTTAGAACTATAGGTGCAACTAAGTATTGATACTCAGTGTAAATTTTTACTTGCACCGATAATACATTTTACATGCACTTGTAATACATTTTACTTGCACTTCGATGTTCAATTATTTACGAAAATACCACCGCATTTTTTTAAATAATCATTGTTTCTCATCTATTAGATCTGGACACGTGAACGAACAGAATCCATTCTTATTTCGCGCCTGGGCGAAGCATTCGCACCTGAGTGCGATTATATATATATATATATATATATATATATATATATATATATATATATATATATATATATATATATATATATTTATATTTATTTATTTATTTATTTATTTATTTATATATACTGCTGCAAGATAAGAACACTAGTGGGTTAGGTTGGAATGATCAAAAGCACATGGTGTATGTTGAAGATGCAATAATAATAATAATAATAATAATAATAATAATAATAATAATAATAATAATAATAATAATAATAATAATAATAATTTTTTGTACAAGGGCATTTATGTCTTTTAAACATATATTCTATTCTTATTCCTTAACCAATCAAACATTGGAATACAGTTCCCACTTCCCAATATCAAATTATGAACACAGAGCTCTATGTTCATAATTGCATAACTGTACATTCATAATTCTGTAACTGTACATTCATAATTCAATAACTGTAAATTCATAATTTTCCAAACTCTATGTTCACAATTTTAGAGCTCTATGTTCATAATTTTATCACTATATGTTCATAATGTCAGAGTCTGTGTTCATAATTCCATAACTTACATTCATAATTCCATAACTGCACATTCATAATGCCACAAACGAATAACGCCGTTAACGCTGTTAACGGCTAGACAAAATTAAATTTTTTTTTTTAATTGGAAGGTCATTTTCCCTTAAAACGACGTCGTTTTAGACTGGTGTCCACAATGCGTTGTGGACACGAGTCCACATCATAATTTGCCATGGAATAGCATTCCTATTCCCTCCAAATTGATTCCGTGAACCAAATGGGCCATTAGTCTCTTTCCTATTGAGCATCTAAAAAATCAAACTCTTGGAGATACTTAGGCTATCCTTATTTTTGAAATATTCTCTCATTTACAAAAATGACTCATACCTTCATTTCATCAAATTGGTAATTCCTTCACTATTTTCTTTACATTCATACAATACTCTTTCACCTTAAAAAATGGTTCCACTTTTACATTACAATGCAATAAAATTAGAATTTAAAAAAGAAAAATAGTACAAAAAGGATGCCACATACTGCCATAACACCTAAGCATAACCCAAAAAAAAAAAAAAAAAAAAAAAGTTTCACTTTGCCATGTCAAATCATCTTGCAAAGGCTATCACTTTAAAAGTAAAAATAGTCTTAAGGCAACTTTGCGATCTTCTCTCACTCCCAAATTGTTATATAACTAAATATTCAATTAATCAGTATTAATTCTTCATCCATGCAATTCTCTTTGGTTACCACATTCATACTACCTTATTAAAAATTTTATTTTTTTAACAATATAATACTAATAATAATTAAAACAACAACAACAATAATAATAAAAAGTAAAAACGTGACTGTTAAATGGTGTTGTAATTTTGACACTAGAATTGCAACAGTTGAAATTTTGCAATGTCATAATTGCAAACACCTGAGTAAAAAAATGGCAATTAATTCAACAATACAATGGGTGGTGATAGCTTTAGAGCATCCCTATTAGGGGAAAATACAAGGTTAATGTTAGGTCAATAAATTTGAGTGGGGTTCTTTCTATATTTGGAGTGAGGTTATTTTAGAAAAGAATTCTTCTGTAAAGAAAGAAATAATGTCAAATAAAAAAAAAATAGAAGACTGATGCGTGCTTGGCGCACACCTTGCGCCCACAGCGGGCACGTACACGCGTCCGCTGGCGGTCACTCTGACTTTTGAACCTTTTTACTTTTTTTTTTTTTAAAAAAAAGTAAAAATTTATTCAATTTTTACATTTTCTTTTTTACTCACATTTTTTTTTCCTCTTTTCTAATCACACTTACAAAAACAAAAGGGATCAACTACTAAAGATGCTCAAAACAACTATGAAAGCGAGAAGAGCATATTTAAATTTGTTTTTAGCGTACAAAATTGTTTTCTACTAATTACGTTACTCATTTCCATTCATGAATCATCATGGACAAAAGCAACATACTCTCATATTCCTAGAAGAACATTATTATGTCTTAATTTGAACTCAAAACCTTGCAAGTCAGCTACTTTACATACTCTGCAAATTAAAGCTTCCATACATGCAAACCTTGAATCTTGGGACACTGTCGAAGAATCTCACTTCTATCTTAAATTCTGCTTTCACTCACAACTTTTTCTGCATTGCTTCACTATGTGGAAATCCCATGCTTCCACCACCCAATCATCTTCTTCACTTCTCCACACTAGTACCTTCCCGCTGCCGCTCTCTCTTAGCAACTTGCGAATCCATGGATCAGCTCAAACAAATTCACGCATTTTTGATCCGTAACTGCCTCTCCAGTGACCCCGTCGTCTGCTCCAAGATCATTGCTTTTTGTTGCACCCACGGTTCAGGTGATATGAGGTATGCCCTTCACTTGTTTGAAACAATGCTTGAACCGAATGTATTTGTTTGGAACACGATGATCAAGGGCTATTCACGATTAGGGAGTCCCGAGGGAAACGGGGTTTCTTTGTATTCAGAGATGTTAAGGAACAATGTGAAGCCGGATAATTATACGTTCCCCTTCTTGCTCAAGGGGTTTACACCTGACATTGCAATGGCGCTGGGAAAAGGAGTGCATGCTCATGTATGTAAATTCGGGTTCGAATTCAATGAATTCGTTCAGCATTCCTTGATACACATGTATTTTATGTGTGGGGAAATCAATATGGCTCGTGGCGTATTCGATGGCAGTGCTAAAACTGATGTGCTAATTTGGAATGTCATGATATCCGGGTTCAACAAAAACAACAAGTTTGAGGAATCAAGGAGACTTTTTGTTGAAATGGAGGAGAAACAGATAATGCCCACTGCTGTTACTCTTATTTCATTGCTCTCTGCTTTCTCAGAGCTGAAGGATTTAGAAGCTGGCAAGCGTGTACACCAGTATGTGAAGGACTGCAATGTTATTGAATCTGATTTATTAATACTGAATAATGCTTTGATAGATATGTATGCAGGTTCCGGTGAAATGGAAGCAGCGCTTGGGGTATTTCGGAGGATGAAGCACAGAGATGTTATATCCTGGACTTCAATTGTGAAAGGCTTCTTGAATTCTGGACGGTTGGATCTAGCTAGAACATATTTTGACAAGATGCCAGAGAAGGACTCGGTTTCTTGGACAGCAATGATTGATGGGTACATCAAAGAAAACCGATTTAAGGATGTCCTGATGCTCTTCCGCGAAATGCAAGAAGCTGCAGATGTGAAACCAGATGAGTTTACCATGGTTAGTGTCCTCACAGCCTGTGCCCATCTTGGGGCACTTGAGCTTGGAGATTGGGTGAAGGCCTACATTGACAAGAACAGGATAAAAGTTGATCTTCATCTGGGGAATGCAGTGATAGACATGTACTTCAAATGTGGAAACGTCGAAAAAGCAGTAGCAATGTTCAATCATATGCATAAAAGGGACAAGTTCACTTGGACAGCCATGATTCTTGGGCTTGCTGTCAATGGGCATGGGCGCGAAGCTCTACGCTTCTTCTCCCAGATGTTGAGGGCTTCAGAAACACCAGATGCTGTAACTTACATTGGCCTTCTCTGTGCTTGTACCCATACTGGCATGGTGGAACAAGGAAGAAAATTCTTCACCAATATGACTGCCTTGCATAGCATTGAGCCTAATGTAACACACTATGGCTGTTTGGTTGATCTTCTAGGCCGAGCTGGGCGCTTAACTGAAGCTCATGAGGTCATAAAAACCATGCCTATGGAACCAAATTCAGTTGTCTGGGGAGCTCTTCTTGCTGCTTGTAGGGTTCACAAAGACATCGAAATGGCAGAAATGGCAGCCACCCAACTTCTCCAGCTAGAGCCCGAGAATGGAGGTGTTTATGTCCTGTTGTGCAACATATATGCAGCCTGCAAGAAATGGGAAAACTTGGGCCAGATAAGAAGAACAATGATGGATAAGGGGATCAAGAAAACACCAGGCTGCAGCCTGATAGAGATGAATGGCGTCGTCCATGAATTCGTGGCGGGTGATCAGTCACACCCTCAATCTGCACAGATCTATTCAAAGATGGAGGAAGTGGTTGGGGATTTGAAGCTTGCCGGCTATGTTCCCGACACGTCGGAGGTTTCTCTGGACGTTGGAGAAGAGGAGAAAGAGAAGTCAGTTTCCAGGCATAGTGAGAAGTTGGCTATTGCATTTGCACTGATGAGTTCAGGGCCTGGATTCACTATCCGGGTAGTGAAGAACCTGCGTATGTGCATAGATTGCCATCAAGTAGCAAAGTTGATTTCAAGAATTTATGGCAGGAAACTTATAGTAAGAGATAAAACTCGATTCCACCATTTCATGGACGGCTCTTGCTCTTGTAAAGACTACTGGTAACTTGAAAGATCCCTTTTTAAGTGGTACCTGAACGATGATTAATAAATGTTAGGATAACAATAACAATAACAATATTAATACTTACCCCAAACAATAATAATACTAATAGTAGTAGTAGTGTGCACAAACTCACACTGTAAAAGGATTAAAAAAAAGGAAGAAAAAAAAAAACATATTATGGAATAAATTACAATTATAACAATAATAATAATAGTGTGCACAACTCGCAATGCAAAAGGATTAAAAAAAAAAAAGGAAAATGTTCAAAGGTGGAGCAACACTCAAGTTTTGAACCTCTAACCTCCAAGTTAAAATACAATAACCACATGTTCCTACCCTTCCTCAATAGAGCCTTTTATATTCAATTGAAAACTTTTAGTTTTTACTTCTAAACTAGTTAGGTAAAATTAAATATTGGACCCTCTAAAATTTGGGGGCCCTGTGCGGTAGCTTAGCTTGCACAACCTAAAATCCAGTCCTACTAATAGCGAAGACGCAACTTTATTTCCTTATACCGCCACACGTTTTCAACACGTTGGATGTTGGGCTTGGCCTTTATAGACCTACGTCCAACAATTCTCCAATTATTGGGTGCTAAATTTGGCCTTTACCAACTTCCACTCAAAAAACATGATTAGTTTTATCTAGAAATATCAATACACCATTAAAAAAAAAAAAAAAAAAAAAAAAGAGGCCTAAAGGTAACTAACCATTGCTCCATTTCAACTTATGAACCACAACCATTATAGCCTACTACATCTATAATCATGCTACGATTATCCACATACCTATCATTATTGGCAAAATCTTGTCTGAGACTGGTCTCACTCTGAGACAGGTCGGGTCAAGATGAAAATGTAATACTTATACGCACAAATGTAATACTAATTAGGAATAAAGTGTTTATTACTTATATGAAAAATACCAGCCAAGGTCCCTTGAGTATAGTGGTTCCGCCACCTATGGTCCTAAACTTTCAAATCAATCCTCCGTGATTCTCCAAGTTTCAAAAATGATCTGTCATAGTCCTATCGTTAGTGTTTTCCGTTTCAGCCGTTAAATGTGAGGGCATAATCGACCTTTCATTTATTATCCAACCAAAACAATTCATTTTGCGAGGATAAACATTGTTGAGGTCACTAACGACGACGATGAGCTTTGCTTTTCCGTCGGAATCGCTTCCGCCTACTTCTCGATCGACAACTTCTACGAGAGTCCTGAGTGCGGCTGTGGATTCAACTGCGTGAATTCGCTCAAATCTAAAACTACCCCCGCTGTTAGGCTCAATCTCAAATGCCTTGCCGTATTTTCTTCCTAATTCTACTCCATAGCTTCCGGAAACGCGGGTTAGTGGTGCTATTGCCTTTGTCGCAAAGGCACAAGAAATCCTGCGTCTCAGTATCAAGCCCACACGTCCTGCCGCCCTTAGTAATGTCTTGGCACTCTAAGCACTTCACCGTCACCGAGATATCGAAGTCCACCCGGATGCCGTACTCCGGCACCTGGTTAAACACTGGGGTGGCGTCAAGGTTCCGCCATTACACGCTAGTGTACGACGCGAAGTGACGCTGCATCAGCCTCAGCGACTCCGCCGCCTTGGGGTAATACGAGCAGTAGGAGCTGCCGCTGCGCAGGGCGGAGGGGCGCTCTGGCAGGTGGCGGCACAGGAAGCTGGCGTTGTCGCACAGCTCCGGGAACCGCTCTCAGAACACCGACTTCGGCTTCACGATCACCTTCTCACCGTTACAGTTGAAGAAGTGAAGAAGAGATAATCATTCTGCGGCGAGATTGCGAGAAACAGAAGTGGGTGCTCGTGTCCAGGCTGAACGGCCGCATCGGCCAAAAATCCTCGCCGTCCTCGTCATAATCCATCTTTGAAATGGATTAGGTAGGGCTAATTTAAATTTCCGAGCATTGAAAAGTGTGAAAGGTCGATTATGCCCTCACATTTGACGGCTGAAACAGAAAACACTAACGGTAGGACTATGGCAGGTCATTTTTTAAACTTGGAGGACCACGGAGGGTTGATTTGAAAGTTTAAGATAATAGGTGGCGGAACCACTATACTCGAGGGACCTTGACTGGTATTAACTCTATGAAAAATATAATACTTTTAAGGAAAAAGTTTAATACTTTTACATTTTGATTTAAAAGTATTACATTTTTCCTCAAAAAGTATTATATTTTCCTTTATAAGTAACAAACATTTGTTAATATTACTTATTAGAGAACTGTAATACTTTTGATGGAAAATATAATACTTTTTTACATCAAAATGTAAATGTATTACATTTCCCTTATAAGTAACAAATGCTTTATTTCTGAACAATATTACATTTGAGCATATAAGTATGACATTTGCATGTTGATCTTGTTGTAAAAATAGCGTGTAGAAGCTGGCAAAAGATGAACAATGTAGTACAAATGTACTGTTGTTGTAGGCTGGATTTGTGCGAATGGAAAAAGTCAACGGATTGTTCTATGACGTGTTAAATGTAACACTGCCTTAAAAGCATTTTACGACCAGGGTATCGTATATTTCTGACGAGCTAACACAAAACCACGAAGCAAACAGAATATAGCTCAGACTACAGACGAAAAGGGAAGAAGAAGATGTTTCCAATGTGTTCTTACCAAAGAGGAAAGGGTTATTAATATAGTAAGTGATATAACAGCCCTCCCTATACCAGCCACAAAAAATGGACGGAAGAAGCGCAAAAGGGAAAGCAAAACGTGGCACACTACGCTTGTGAGCCGGGTAGGCGGGCGGCGGCGCGTGTGATTCCCCTTTATTTCCTCTCCATAACTCTTCAAACCCAATTTAGAAAGTGTTAAATCATATAAAGGAAGAAAATGTGAGTTAGGCAACCAATATGGGACAACCAACAAAGACAAAAATGCCTTTCACCTTTAAATGTTTTCCCAACAATCCCCCACACATTTAAAGAAGTAAGGCAGTAACGGATAAAGTCTGAGCGAAACACAAAAGCTGATTTTAATGTCAGTGAATGTGACTTGAACTGACACGTGGTAACACCGAGTATTTTTCTTCCCTGAGAGTCAGATGTCACTTGAACTCGCAGGTTAGGCAAATTTTGAGCTCAAGTGTTCACGTCAACTCTAATATTTGAAAGTTCTACACAATCAAACTCTTTGACTATTCAAGAATCCCTATTAAGTCTAACTCTTCTATATAGACTTTAACTATGTCAAGTCTATCTCAACATAGACCACCCATAGAAGGCTACAGAGTAAGTCATGGCCATTTATTTCCATAATTTTGGTGTAAGTCTTTCCATGATTTCGTTTGACCGCTGAAGTGGTATCCATCACGAATTCCTCACCCCATTGGTTTTAAACCCATCTCCCCTGATGTTTCAAGGATGGCCTTTCGATTTAAGCCTTCTGTGAGAGGATTTGCAATATTCCTCTCAGATTTCACAAACCCCATTGTGATTACCCTGTTCAATATTAATTTTTGTACATACTCATGTCTGACTCTTACGTGTCTTCTTTTCCCATTGTAGACACTATATTTTACAACACAAATGGCAGTTTGGGAATCACAATGTATAGGCACAGAAGGTGTTGGACACCCCCACAATGGCACGTCTACCAATAAATTTCTTAGCCACTCAGCTTCTTGGCTAGCCATATCAAGAGGTATGAACTCTGCTTCCATAGTCCATCTAGCAATACATGAATGTTTAGTCGATTTCCACGATATAGTAGCCCCACATATAGTGAACACATATCCACTTGTTGACCTAACATCTTCACTGTCATTTACTTAGTTTGCATCATTAAATCCTTCCATCACCGCTGGGAATCCTACATAGTCAAGTCCCCTGTCCATGGTGCCTCTCAGGTACCGAAGCACTCGTTTCAGTGCATTCCAGTGTGTACCACTTGAGTTGTGTGTATATCGACTGAGCTTATTTACTACAAATGCAATATCAGGTCTAGTATTGTTCATCAATAACATTAGACTCCTAATTATTTTTGCATATTCATCTTGAGACACACTATCTCCCATTGTTTTTGATAGTTTGATACTTGGATCATAAGGGGTTTTAGCTGAGGTTACATCAACACTATCAAATTTCTTTAACAGTTTCTTTGTATAGTGGCTTTGCGACAAAAGGTAACCTTTGTAAGTTTTTAAAACTTTTACCCCAAGTATAACATCGGCTTCACCCAAATCCTTCAGCACATAGAATTCTTTTGGTCTCATTAATAGCTTCTATGTTTGAACTGAAAATCAGCATGTCATCTACATAGAGGCATATAATCACAATTTTGGACTCAATCTTATTGGTATACAAGCAGGCATTTGATGGTTAGCAGTGTAACCTATGTCTATTAGGGTTTTGTGAAACTTTTCATACCACTGGTTAGAGACTTGTTTTAAACCATATAGAGATTTTTTGAGTCTACATGCCTTTATTTCCTGACTGGGAGCAACACACCCAGGAAGTTGTTCCATGTAGATTTTTTCTTCTAGATCACCATTGATGAATGATGTTTTTACATCCACTTTGTGAACTATCAGCCTGTGCAAGGATGCTAATGCAAACAAAACATGGATGGTTGAAATATTTGTTACAGGTGAATATGTATACAAGTAATATTCACCAAATCTCTGGGTGTAACCTTTGGCTACAGGCCTGGCATTGAATCTTTCTATAGACCCATCTGGTCTTAATTTCCTTTTGAAGATCCATTTACATTCAATTGGTTTACACCATTTAGGTAGGTTTACCAATTTCCAAGTATGATTAGACTGTATGGAGTCCAGTTCACTCTTGATTACTTCCTTCCATAATGTGGAATCAACTGAGCGCATAGCATCTTCAAAGGTTTTTGGTTCTTCTTCTAACACTAAATGACAGATGAATTGATCACACAATTCATTTATATCTTTCAACTCAATCAAAAAAGTTATGAAATCAAAACCAAAACTTTTCTCTGTCCTAGGTCTTTTGCTCCTTCTAGACTCATCAGAATTATTTGCAATACTAGACATAGGAAGTAGTGCACATTCAT